CCCCCCCAACGATTTTCAGCTTCCGCCGCCCCTAAACTTGTTCCTTGTTTGCAGCAAGCTGCTTCTCATTTGCAGCAACTTAGTTTGTTTTTATTTGCAGCAACTTGTCTCAAATGCAAAAAGTTGTCTAGCAAGCAGCAACTCATTTCAGGGGAGTGTTGTCTTCAGAAATACTGTTGGTGGTGTTGACTGACGTTTCGACCCCTGAGTCTTTTTGACTTCCGCTCAGGTTGTGGTGCAGAACAAATACAATACAATACCATACATCTTTATTCACATTTCCTTTTATGTTAGATTACGTTAAATTATGTATTTAGATCATTGAAAAGAAAGAAAATATTTAATTGGGTCAAATAAGTAAAGATAAAAATAAGTTGTAATGAAAGGAAATGCCTAGAGCCTAAATAAACCATATAATTTCCTAGTCTCGTCCGAAGAGGAGTTAAAAGGAGACTCTGCTCGCAGGGTACGAAATGCGTCACGAAAATCAAATATTTTAAAATRAATAAAAATTTTTTTTCCCATTCCGCTTGTCCTCCACATTGAGCTGCTTTGACGTTTCATGCAAGGGGTTTATTCAAATGACAAAAAATTGAACTTCCAGATGAAATATTGGCCTTCCTGTTTCCCATGTTACTCGCTTTTCATTGTTTATCTCGAAAGAGAGGAAATACAAAGGCGACAAAACGTCCACCCAGCAAGAGCATTTGCTATTGTCTTTGCACGTAACAGGAAGTTGTCAAATAAGGAACTCGATATTTATACGACGTTTAGGTTGCCCTAATATAGATGACATACTCACGAAGGAGGATCCTATTCACAACCGACAAAACATAGCATATTAATTAAATTTAATTCGTCAATTCAGTGTACTATATTTGAAAGATTTTTTTTTATTTATTTTTTTTTTTTAGATATTTCTCTATAAAAATGTCAAATTCTGACTTTGAATTAATGTTCCGAGGCAAGGTACTGAATTTCCCGATTGTTATTTTTTTCTATAGCTTGAAAGTCCTCATTCTTCTTTGCCTTTTTCAAGTAAGATAGATATATTAAAAATTATCCAATTCGAATAAAACGCTCGAGAAAAAGATATTAAAACGGTCAATTATACCGTCAGTACATTGACAGTCCAGCGTGGGTTCCCTGTGGTTAATGGAATAACATGACGGATATCAATGAATTGACTATAAAAAAACCGAAAGGGGGGAATAAAGCTGAGACAGTTCGTAACGTGATTTATGGAAATTTCTAGAAAGATTCAAATAGCATTAAGTCAAAAAAACGCAACCAAAAAAATTTAAAATATTAAATTGTTTCAGTCATGCCAGGGAAATGAATAGCTATCGTACTAGGCACCGAGAGTTACTCCGCATTCCACTAGCTAATTAAAGCCAAATACCAAGGTAGCTTTCGCATAAATGGAGCGCGCACTTGAAACCAACTCCAGTTAGATATAAGACACTTTTCCAATCTTGGAGAGTTTAAGGCAAATGCAAAGCGCCATTTTAAACTATGCGCATTGTCTAGTTTTGAACTATTATTATATTGTATCGTAATGTAGCTTGTAATTCATGTAGTGTTTATTTACTTTGTAATTATATTTGTTTTATACAGGATTCTATTTAAACTAGTCTGTGCTAAATTAGATGTTATTATATTGTATCGTGATGTAACTTGTAATTCATGTAGTGTTTATTTAATTTGTAATTATTTATTTTGTACAGGACTTTATTTAAACTAGCCTGTGCTAAATTAGATGTTCCTGTTCAAATATTGAATAAAATAAAAATAAAGATGGATAAAATCAAGTGTGCATGTATATACAGAAAGGCAGGATTAGGATAGATGGACTTCAGTATTACAGACTATTGCCGGCAAGCAATAAGGTTATAGCAGCATGAATAGCATGAGTAGTACAGTTTTTGGTGTTCAGCACTGTATTTCTTCTCAGGAATATATCTAGTCATTGAAACTGTCATGAAATTCGAAATGTATTACATTTACCCTTATTACCAAATTCAATCTTTCGCTTTTGCTTGCTAATCCCCTCGTGCATAAGGTTGATTCTCTAAGATAAGCTTGTTAGGCTAACGAACTAGAGACTCAGTTTTTACTATTGAAAAATTGTAAACAAACTACATACCACAGGTGCTTGCAAGTCCACGTAGAGATAGCACGCGTTGTGGTTTGGAATAAAAGAGCACACATATCAATGCAGTGTAGCTGGCAAATCAGAGCGGACGTTAACCAAATAAGTACTTTCAACTTCAAATTGAAATTGAAACTTGTTTGGTTCCTAACCCCGACGATAAAGAAACAATGCTGGAAGATGAAGAAAACAAGATTTTGAGATTGAAGTGGGCTGTTTTATTTTCCTGTTTGGTGCAACTTGGAGAAATTGAGTTCCGCATAACATACTCACGGTACTTAGTAGAATATACACCAATCAGTAATTACGAAAAGCCGGAGAATTTACGGTAGAATGAAACCACGAACCCAGCAGCTACATAAGATCTATGTCAAAATGTTATAGTTACACCAAAACAATTACATACCAATTATTTAAATCCACACTGAGTATGTAATGGATCAATGTCCTCCCCTTTTCTTTCCAAGAATTTGAAGATCAAGCTGGGTCAAACAGTACAGGCGACACGGCGCGAGCTTAGTTACCTAGCTGCGTGATATTGCGTTACTATTTCCATACAGTGATGAGCAGTTTTTGAGTGGCATGGCCTTTCACTTGATTTCGGTTATTTCATGTTTGGTTGAGAGAAGAGGTTGTGAAATGGAGTTAAAAATAGCTAAGATTCATGAGGTGGGAGGTGCTTGGGGGCCTATTGATGGTTTTCACGGCGGCCATGTTGGAGGAACTAAACAAAAGAATTGTCAATGAATTCTTTTGTTATATCCTCCAACATGGCCGCCGTGTCTTTTGTTATTAAATTCTCTTGGGACTGGTTGAAAACCATCAATAGCTCCTCCACTTTTACCCTTTTAAATAATAGTCTCTTATGTTTTCTGACTTTAGCCTCCTAGCTTCGTTCCCTTACCCCTCTATATTCTAATTTTGTAATTGTATTTTCATTTTCCATACATTGGTTGTCTGGTCAAATGAAAGCGCTCAAGCGAGGCGCCAAGGTACTTTCAAAGGATTATTCAAATTTGAACCTTGCAACCTTGACTGAATGCTTTGTGTTTGACCAGTTAACCGATGTAGTGGAAAATGCTGATTATATCCTAAAGTTATAAATTAAAGTAAACATTTGACTATCTAAGTGAAATGGCAATAATCAGATAATAATGTGCTACTATAAGTAGATGCATGTCATCATCAATTTTTACTTGCGTACGATAGCTTTCTTAAAATTTGTTAAGCCAATTGAGCTCTCGTATTTCATTTGGTAATTCATTCCAGGCAACAGCTCTACGATAAGAACATTTGTGTTAGGCAAAGGAGGTTTAAAGTCAAAATTGCCGCCTCTAAGATTGTAGCTATGAACCTCAGGGGTCGGTTGGAACAAGTTGATATTGAGATAATCTGGAGCTGATYTGTGATACACTTTAAACAGCATGACCTGTAATTGAAATTTTTGTCGGTCATTTAGATTTGTTTCCTCCTGTCCTCTACTGTTCTCTGCACTCCTCTTCTCTCTCCTCTCTATCTCCTCTTCTCTCTCCTCTATCTCCTCTTTATTATTTTTTCTCAGTAACCATTTCTCTGAGTGCAGAAACAAAACGTTCAGAGAACGGAGAAAGCAAGCCGAACTAAAAATTCAACGATAAACATCAATGGCATTAAATATTACATTACACTGAGCAATGCGGAATTTTTGATAGAGCTAAATGATTATAATATCAGTCAGTGATTGGTCGTAAAACCTTCAGCATTGTCTTTTAAGATTTCTTTCGTTTTCTATTTTGAACTGACGACAACTTGTAGCAGACTGTCGTGTCATTTTATCGCTATTTATCATATAGGTAGCATAGTACGTGTGCGCTGATTGGTCGAAAACTGCGCTTTATTAGTAAACGGAGCATAGTGGTGACGCCATACGCGCGCGCGAAGTGCTGTTAGATCCTGCGACCGTCTTTCTTTTCGCGAAAAATACATTCAATACCGAAATAAAATTAGTAACTATATAATAAAACGTGCTCAAGTCCTTTCGTGCTTACGTCATTTCCTGCGTGCTTTATTACTGAACGGAGCTGAAATAAAGCTGTTTTATTTGTTAAGTATTCGCCGATCGCTTACACAGAAACCTTGCCAGCGCTCTGATTGGCCAAAGACCAATGAACTATATCCCCATGGGCTGCACGTTAGCGCACGTTGATCTCAACGGACGCTCGCCTTTTTTCTCTAAATTTTCAAATCAGATGGCGTCAATAGCGCGCGCACGAGAGAGGGATATAACGCGCGCGCTGATTGGTTGAAAACCTATGAACTATTTCCCAATGGGCTGCACGGTTCATCTTTTCTTGAATCTAGCTATATTATAAATCAATTAGACAACAGAAGGTCGCTTGCCCATGGCGTTATAGACGCACTCGAGAGATATAAAGACTATGGCTACGCCTCATGACACTCTTAACGCTTGTTAATCGTTCTTTATGTTGTCTAATTGATAATTGTATTTAATAAGAAATCTTTTGCAACATAATAAGAAGTCATAAAATATTGGTGTGCTTCTTGATTGCAGTCTCATTTACTCAAGGTTGCGGTCCCCGTTTGGTTTATTTAATTTTGTTTGTTTGTTTTTTGTTTTTTGTTTTTTTTTTGTTTTTTGTTTTTGTTTGTTTGTTTGTTTGTTTGTTTTTGTTTTTCGTTTTTTGTTTGTTTGTGGGGGGGGGGGGGGGGGGATCGTAGGAAACGCAGGTTAACTACTTTCCAATTAATATATATATATTTGTCTGTTTGTCGACAAAACAAACTTCGAAGGAGTTTTCCGAAGCCTTCAAAAATCTAACAAACAGTGATATCATTATAAATCCATATGGACCTTACGATCTTCATTAACTCTGCGCTTGGTCTACCCTTGATTTCCCCCTGAAGCTTCAGATGCGGAGTCGGGGGGACTAGTTGGAGAACGTTGCGGCAAAAATCGAGATTTCTTCTGGCATATAGATGCACAGGAAGTCCAAGATTAGTTTCGCTGCTCACCGAATGGCTAGCAGTAGTAGAGGGGGGTAGTAGTAGTAGTAGTAGTAGCGGTAGTAGCGGTAGCAGCGGTTTGGTAGTAGCGGTAGTAGTGGTAGTGGCAGTAGTGGCAGTAGTAGGAGGAGGAGGAGGAGGAGGAGGAGGAAGAGGAGAAGGAGGAGGAGAAGGAGGAGGCAACGAAGTCTTTATTAACAAGGAAATTTACAACTAATCATGTCTAATTAAAAAAAACTGATAATATTTAGCGCTTACTGTTAGTTTCCCTCCTTCTACAACGGGTCAGTCAGACAGTTCATGAATGTTATTAATTTTTTTCTCGTATCTATGGAGATGTCACTGACAGAGACAGTGGAATAGATTACTGTCATGTCTGTGTACAACAGAATAATTAATCTTGCCGACCCTTAGTACAAGGAAGCTTCTGCAATGACCAGAACGTAAGAGCGGAAAACACATCAAGTCGTCACAATAAAATGTACAAAACTTCACAAGATTAAGGCGTAAATTCTCTGGCTTTACTTTACTTTATTTGAAGATTGCATGAGCGTCATTAAACAGTCGCCAATGAAGAAACCCTAGATCCAGGTAAGGGATAAAACAAACCTTCAACACCTTAAATATTTTAAAAGTGTCTTTATAGAAATCATTCTTGTCAAAGGCATTTATTTTTCTTTTAGCGGCTTTGGAATTAAACAATAGATTGATKGTTAACGGCCTCGGATCTGAAAATGAAAGCCAATTGTTGAATAGCTTAATGAATTTGAGCAGCTATCTTGTGAAGTCTGAGGCTCCAGTGAGATAGGTTGAATTTCAGGTCATTTAGCTCGTCTTAGTTAAGCGGATCGTATATCCATGTACAATGTCGACTAATGAAAAAAAACCTAACAATTAATGTCAATGTTCATTACTTTTTTCTGAGTTCCGTATTTCTATTCCATTAGTTTTCATTTCAATGTTAAATAGTACTTTAAATTGCAAAGGAATGGATTTTACACAGTCAAGGACAATTTAAATATTGTATTGATTTTCACGGGTCTGTTGCATGCACTCAAGATTTGCAGTCAAAGTAAACAAATTATTCCGATGGTCACTTTATGGTAAAAGCGTTTTTAAAGTCCAAACATATCGTCTTTCAAAAAAAAAACCCGAAATTCCTTAATGCAATATATAATTATATAATATATATTATATATATAATTTAAAGAGTAA